TTCTTGCCCGTCCTGTCCTCCCCTGCCCTGCCCTACCCTACCCTACCCTACCCTGCCCTGCCCTGCCCTGCCCTACCCTGCCCAGCCCAGCCCAGCCCAGCCCAGCCCAGCCCAGCCCAGCCCAGCCCAGCCCAGCCCAGCCCAGCCCAGCCCAGCCCAGCCCAGCCCAGCCCAGCCCAGCCCAGCCCAGCCCAGCCCAGCCCAGCCCAGCCCAGCCCAGCCCAGCCCAGCCCAGCCCAGCCCTGCCCTGCCCTGCCCTGCCCTGCCCTGCCCTGCCCTGCCCTGCCCTGCCCTGCCCTGCCCTGCCCTGCCCTTTCTGCTGTCCTGTCCTGTCCTGTCCTGCCATGTGTTGTGCTGTGGTGTGCTGTGCGGTGCTATGCTATCCTGTCATATTCTCTCTTCTTTTTCCGCTCTCTGTCACTTCCTCTTCCCATCCCGTGCTCTGCTCTGCTCTGAACTACGACGCGCAGTGTTGGTTCAGCTCTGCTCCCTCTCCTCGTTTCCTATCCCGGCACGCTATGCGTGAGCCCGTCACGCACAAAAACGGTAATGGAGAGCAGATAATGAGAGGGCAGCGGGGCCGCGGCCTCACAGCCCGCCAGCCCGCCCGAGCGCCGGAGCGCCGAGCGGCGCCGTTCGCCCGGCCCGTCACAGACGACAGCGCCAGTTCCACGAGCGGCGCCGCCCGCGCTTAAGTCCCTGGAGCCGGCTGGCGGCGCAGTGCCGCAGTGCCCCCTCGACAGGGATACGCACTGCAGCATCCGCCGGCGCTGGTTGCTGTGGATGCGAGCAAACGGATGACAATTTAACCGGCGGAGAGTTACCCCCGCAGCGCTCGCAAGGAATTCAGACGCGCGTCCCGACGACCGATCTCGCACGCAAACTGCGACCTGAAGCACGGCTCCTCGCACCGTGTTTGGGCGGCCCGGCCCGATCCGGCGGGTGCCGGCCGGTCGCGTGCCGCCGTTGCTGGGCGGCCCGCCCGGCCCGGGCGACCCCGTGCCGTGCGCGCTGCAGCCGTCGGGCCGGCGTCTCCCGAGCAGCGGCCGCCGCGCCAAACAAGGCGTAACGCTCGACGGTCGGCTCCACGGACGGTCCGCGGATGGGTGGGAGGCCACAGATGGCCAGCCACGCGCTCCCCCCGGTCAGCGCACAGTACATTCCCCCGCCCCCGCGCACCGGCTATATCTCGACACACGGCGCGGGTTTAGGGTATCATCCCTAGCGTTATTGAACGCGTTACCAGGACAAAATACAGCAGTATCGCCGGCCCAGGCAAACGTCAACCGGTCCCTACAATAGCCGACGTCTTGGCACAAGTAATGAAAACAGGCGACGGGAGAGAATATGTAAATATAGCGCGTGAAACCGCGAGACATGGGATCGCCTCGAGTGACAGCCGACTGACAAGCTGAATAGCTATTGGTACGTCACACCAGGGCGGCCCACAGCGGCCCAGGTCCGCAAAACGGGGCCAGCCATCACACAACATAACTGAAATGGAATGCGTTGAGTTTTGAAGCCAGTGATCATCAGGCGTTTATAACCTAACAGGCGTTTCGCACTCGAAGGCAACATTGGTTCGATCTATCCCCTGGAAAATCAGCTCCAAAATGCAGAGTGGGGCCCCACCCAGAACAAAGCAAAGGCACATTCGTACGTACCTTGCGATTCACAATCAGCTCACGACTGTCCGCCGTGAAGCGCGACAAAACGCCGGACGCCGCCGCAGTCCCGCACGGCGCGTCCGCCAAGTCCCTCCTGCAGTCACGCGCCCGCAGTCTCCCACCGCACAACACACTAGCACGAAGTGCCGATCTGACCCGTCACCGACGGCACCGGAGACCAGGACATCAGCTGCCGGCGCCGAACGCCCTCCTCGGCACACAACCCGAGCTCGGTCCGCCGCCTGGCGCGCGGCGCCGCGTCTGAAGCGCACCGCGGTGGCGTGTGCGAGCGGCCCGTGCAGCGCGGCGACTGCCGGGCGGACGGCCGGAACGCGCGGCGGCGGCGGCGGCCGGCGCCCAAGACGTACTCCGGTCACCGGGGCCAGCGGCATTATCATCATAAAGGGCTGGACCGGGAAATAAAACCAACACGGGCGAAAACCGAGCGGCCGCCGCGGCCGCACCAACCGTCATTTACATGAGAATCGGCGGCGCACATGAAGTGGGCCATCGCGGTCAACAGCGTCGCGGGGACCCGGCCGGCTGGCGACGGCCGTCTGACAAACCGGCGACCGATGTGACCCCGGCGTGCCATGGCGTCGATGGCGCTCTCGCCGCGCCCCGGCGGCGGCCGCGCGCTCGGGGACCGACGGCCGGCCGGGACCGGGGCCGGGGTCAGCGGCGGCCGACCTCTGCCGACGGGCGCCGGCCGCGCCACCGACCGCAGCGGCGGCAGACGTGCCGCGGAGCCGACGGGTGCGCGGCGCGCAGTACTGGACCATAGGACCACGGATGCCAGCCGATGCCGTCCGGAACGCATGACCCGGGGTCTCTCAGCGACACATCCGAATCAACGCCGGAGCGCGGCCATTGACGCGAATGTAGATGAAACACTAGGCCACAGGAGTGTCACTTTTTAAATCAGTCTAAGGGGGAGGGGTAGCTGAGCCGATATGGTAGACCTAAACTACCTCCAAATTATGAGCTCTCTCCAGATTTCGGCCCCTTTAAGCTAAGTTCACGATGTCAACATACAAAGCGCCTTTTTAACAAATATTTGGTCGATTCCAAAACTTGTTTGATCCCTCCCACTTCAAGGCGATGTGAAGCTGCATTTATGTAAAGCTTAGAAAGGGACGAGAACCAAATAAAAATCCTAGTAAATCGACCAGCTGTAGTGATCACCGAAAAAGTGCCTTTATGCACTCATCAATGGTGACGAGAAAAAGATGCTTTATGCAGAATGGCGTGACCTGACCAGTATAGAGGCTACACAACAGACTTGTGTACACTGTAAGAACGTACCTATATAAAAAATAAACCTGAAATGCAACAGCTTCTCAACCGACATGTGGATAATGGGAAAGACATACAAGGTAAAGGTAGCTGGTGACTGTCACCAGCGACCGTTGGCAAGGCAGTGGACCAACGCTGTGACACGTGTTGAAAGTTGCATAAACCAGAAATGTCTTGAACTAGCAGTGTTTTGACGTTATGAGCTTTCTGTGCTGGAAACAATTGTCCTTTAGCACACCAGGAGGATGTGGTTAAACGATGCTATTGCTAAATTATTCGTCATACTGAGAAAAACTGACGTTTGAAAACCGTGCTCTTGGTCAGATGTCTTTGAAAAAAATCCGCCAGCACTACCAAAGGATTTCTTCCAAAGGGACGATAACTTCCGTCGATATCATTTTCTGTAGCGCAACCAGGTGAGAGACATACCGAGGAAATGGACTTCACACCGTTCCGTCCGAAGCGCACCATAGCTCATCCCGACAGTTCTGTTGGTTAGAGCGCCTGCCTTCTTGGGTTAGTCCTTCGAAAGAACACAGTGACGCCCCTGCTAGGCCAGCATTCACGCTCGAACGTACGACTTTCGAGGTACAGCGGAGTAAGGCAGCGCCCAAACTACCAGCTCTGCGCTATCGCTGATATCCCGTGCCGTCCTCTGCGTCATGTCGGGCAGCCGGGGCCCGTGGTCAGTCAGCGCCGGGACCCGCGGCCCGGCGCGGGGCCAGCAGCCCGGCCGCCCGGCCCGGCGCGACGGCGGCCGCCGGCCGGACCCGGACGGCCCGGGCGAGGCGGCCGCCCCCGCGGTGCCGCGGCCATTCACTGTCGCCAATAACACGTACATCAATTACGGTGGTGGCGGCGGCGCCGCCGGCCGCGCGGCGCGCCGCCACCGCCGCGCGGCCGGCCCTGTTTTTCAATCGGACGCCAGTCGGCGCTAATCCTCCGGGCCGGCGGAGGGGTCTCCAATTACGCTCAGTTCGTTGGCCGGCCGGGCGCCCGGCGGCCCGCTGACCCCGATCTCCAGTAATGTCCCCCCACCCCCCCCCCCCCCGTGACGGGATCGTCCAGCCTTTCCTGAGATGAACGCGCCCGAAACCCTACGGCCGGATCTCGCGGGAGGGCATAACCTCGCCACACTGGCAGGAGGACGCCCTTGCTATCGACCGCAGTCTCGATTACGACCCTTTTCAAAACCGCTGTTAGGAACCCATCGTCTTCGCCTCCTCGTCTCACCCATCGCCTTCGGTCGATGACCTCATGCAAACTTGCGTCAGGGTCACCAGCACCGCACGTGTGCCGTCAGTGGCACTAATCCCCCGCTGACGAGGGCATCATGTCCCGCGCACCACACAGGTCAGGATCAGTCCCCGCGTCGTGCTTCACTACCGCATCCAGCACCCGCTCCCAGCACCTTCAGCCACGAGAACAAGCTACCCCTTCCAAAGCGATACTGCCCTGACAGCATGCTTTGCGGCCAAGCTCCCGTTTCAGATATGGGATGGACGGCACGTCTTCCGCTCTTGCTTGCGGCATCATTTAAAAAAAGACAAAATTAACGACACAGCAAGCCCTCGTTTGAACACGGCGAAGTTGACGACACAGCACGCCCCATCCGAACAAGATAAAGTTCACGACACAGCACGCCCAAGTGCCGTGTTAGATGAGAGACAAACGTCAGATGAAACTCGAATGAACGTCACAACCCGTCACAAATATGCATGCACAAAGAGCATGACCCCTGCCGGAAGCCACTGATCAAACAATCTACCATTGATGGCGCCGCTGCGCGTAACGCATACCACGGATCCGCTAAATGACTGACGGCCCCAAAGCGGCCGGATCTAACCCGCCATCGTGCTGGCTTTTGTGCGCCTTGCCATTACTTAACTAATTGTTCGTACGATAATTTTGGTGTCAAATTTTTAGTGCCTGCTTAAGACAGCTGACACAGATAAGAAATGACACTCCTGCCGCTCTTTGCCGTGCGATGCGGGGAGAAGGGCGTGCCCTGCGAGAGACAAGCGCTGCAGTACTTACCGTAATATCCAGACTGTCTCTTATGTTGGCTGGCTGCAGACCAGTCGACCAATCAGTGACGATTGCAGAGATTCATACCAATGTTGTTATGGGATTTACAAAGGACAAATAAACAGCGGCCGGCCTGTAGCCTGGCAAAGCCAGATCGGTCCCACCGTACGGAATGACAATTGGCAGCCTCAGACAACAGCACTGCGCCAGATGGAAACCATGTGCATCTGCTATGTGATCCGTCATCATGGCTTGCGCTTCATGATCTGCTTTAATTCTAGCAGAGACTTTAAACGAAATGTTGAGCATACCGCACTTATACTGGTCGTACGTGCAGAGCACATCTGCACCAGCTGCAGTGCAAATATAGCTGCACGTGTTGTTTTCCCACGTGCCGTGCCGACCCTCGTCCGACTTGGCGGGTCACGACCACCGCACGGCGGCGCAACCAGGCCGAGTTAAGCCGCGACCGGGCCGCTCGAGTTGAAACCCGACACACGGTGTCGCTCCACGGACGCCTCTCCGGCTCAGCGGGCCGCACAGCGTCGCCCAACGGACGCCTGTCCGGTGCCGTCCGGGGCAGCGGGCCGCACAGCGTCGCCCACGGACGCCTGCCCAGCGCAGCGGGCCGCACATTGCCCCCCCCCCCCCCCCCCCCACTCCGCCCCCACGGACGCCAGTCCGGCGCGGCAGGCCACAGTGTCGCCCCGCGGACGCCCGTGCGGCGCAGGAAGTTGCGACTCTGCTGACCTACCTCCCATGTCCTTGAGCTTTTTGGCATACAGCTTCAGCTGCTTCTTGTACTTCTTGACCTGCTCCGCAAGATTATCAATCTTCTCCCGCAGGTCCTGCAAGAAAGAGCACACACAGCGGTTATCATTACAGCCAACGAACTTGTGATCTACTTATACCTGAAAAAAATTGGCTCAAATTCCGGCCCATCAGTCCGCCACCATTGCCGTCAGGCTGTTCGCGATGTCCAAAGGCTTACCACAAATATGTTATGTTTCTGACGAAATGCGCTCCATGGACCTGTTTTTAACAAATCGGTTTATTACAATTTCGAAGGCATTTCACGTCCGAGACGGGTGGTATTGGTGGCTCCCGCCCCACGCCGGCGTGCTGACTGGTTTTCTGCCGCGCCAGATGCGGATGCGGGGCCGCGTGGTTCCCGGACTGGCCGCGGGAGCGTTCTACGGACCTGACAAAAGGCCTCAGGAATTTTTACCGAAATATCGTTTAAACAAAGGGGACTTGTTAAACAACGGGGACTTGACCAACATAAAAATTTATGGAAAGCTCAACGCAATTCTGAGCCATGTGCTATTTGGCAGGACAGTATGAGGAGATGCGGGCAAAATGAGGCACAAATGTGCTCGGCCTACCTTGTTAAGGCCAAAAACCCAGCTCAAACCGTCCAGCAGCCTCCATTGTACAGGCAGAACCCTCAGCGGATCTGCGTACACATCACAGGCTAGTCCGTTCCCCACGTCGAGACCCCGACACGGACGAACCGCCGCGAGCAGACCTGTCTCAAGGTTCTCTGGCACCGCGGTTCAGCCCAGGCCACTCTGCCGCATATCATCCCGAACAAGCCGCCGCCGGACCTTCGCAGGGCGGCCGCCCGGCACCGGAGCCACAGCCGGCCTCACGCACCACCGGCGGGAGCCCACAGCGCCGTCGGACCTTCGCACGGTGGCCAGGCCGGCACCGGAGCCACAGCCGGCCTCACGCACCACCGGCGGGAGCCCACAGCGCCGTCGGACCTTCGCAGGGTGGCCAGGCCGGCACCGGAGCCACAGACGGCCTCACGCACCACCGGCGGGAGCCCACAGCGCCGTCGGACCTTCGCAGGGTGGCCAGGCCGGCACCGGAGCCACAGACGGCCTCACGCACCACCGGCGGGAGCCCACAGCGCCGTCGGACCTTCGCAGGGTGGCCAGGCCGGCACCGGAGCCACAGACGGCCTCACGCACCACCGGCGGGAGCCCACAGCGCCGCCGGACTCGCACAGCGGCCAGCCCGGCACCGTAGCGACGGACGGCCGCACGCACCACCGGCGGGAGCCCACAGCGCCGCCGGACCTTCGCACAACGGCGAGCCCGGCACCGGAGTCACAGACGGCCGCACGCACCACCGGCGGGAAGCCACAGCGCCGCTCCCGGCCGGTGCCGTCACGCCACACCACTACAGCGCGCGCGTCCCGTCCGGCTGCCGGGGAGGGGCGGTTGACGGGCGGCGGCTGGCACGGGTGCGAGCCGCGGAGGACCGCCGCCGGCCGACACCAGCTGGAGTGTGTGTGTGTGGGGGGGGGGGGGGGGGAGGGGATGAGATCGCGGAGAACTGGCCGCCCGCCCGCCATCACTGGAGTGGGGTCCAGACCACGAAGGACACCGCGCCCAGGCGCTTCACCGCCAAGCCGCTCATCACAATGCGACCAGGCGCTGTCCGTCACTTCCACCACTCTAACCAATACAAGTGAAGGAGACACGAACCTATTCCAATGACGCACGCTCCATGAGTCACCCTACCGACATGTGCGTCATCGCCCCAGCTAATGACAGGGCAGCGGCCGAACGGACCGGAGACTCGTCACCAGCGGGCGGAAGAGACGAGCGGCGGCGTCGCTCCAGGCTCAGGATTGGCTGTCGGTCGCGTGCGCCAACTCTAACGAGAAAGTCTGCCACGTCCCAGCTATGAATTCAGAAAAGGCGCCTGGTGGTGCGAGACGGGCCGGTCGCTCACGCCAACCGTCGGCACGGCGTCAGCTGTGTGGTCGGGCACCTCACACCGCCATGGGGGGCGTACGGCAGGACTGGACGGCTGACTGCCGACCGTTCTAGCCGGATTCAACAAATACCGTACGTGAACCTGCTCCTAATCAACCCTCACATCAAGCACTGGTTTAAAATAACATCGGTGACTGGATGGTTCGAAAGCATGGACTACTTAACCATGCAGCCTATTTGTGTTGCCTCTCACCAGAATCAAGGTCGCCTATCTTGCAGCCTTACACTGCCTGTCCAGCCTGACAAGAAAGCGCACAGAAGGGACCGCACCTGTCCTACCAGCGTGGCCCACTCAAACGGACGGGGGCGAGCAGCAGCGGCCGCCGGGCGAGCCAAAAGTGGCTTCAGAGGGCGGGCCGAGAGCAGCCCCAGAGCGGCCCGAGCGGGCGGCCCGAGAGCGGCCAGAGCGGGCGGGCCGACAGCAGTAAGAGCGGGCGGGCGGTGCCACTCACCAGGTTCTCGGAGGTGAGCCGCGTGATCTCGTGCAGCATGATGGCTTCGTTCTGGCCGGGCTGCGCCTGGCCCAGGTTCTGGCTGATGAGTCGCTGCTGGCGGTCGTTGTCGGCCTTCAGATGACTGAGCTCCTCGCGGTACTCGGCCTCCATCTGCAGCAGGCGCACGCGCTCCTCCTTCTCCAGGTGCAGCTCCTCCGCCAGCTGCCTGCAGGCGACGCCACACAACGGGCGCCGGTCAGCGCGCCGCTGGCTCAGCGGAGCACCCGCGTTCTGAGCAGCGACGCCAGTGCTCGTGCAGGAGGGCATACGGGGCGTAAATACCTCGCACGCCAGCCGGGGATACATCGCGGCCTTCAATCGCGGGATGAAGCGGGCCAGGAGCGTGACGTCACGACCCCACACTCACCGGCGGCGTGCACGGCGAGCGCCGCCGGCGCGCGGCTCCGAGCGGCGCCGCGACTGTCGAGAGCCGGCGGCGGCGCGCCGCTCCATGGGCCCGGCCGGGGTCGCGGCGACCGCGGCCGCGGCCGGCCGGCCACCGCAGCCGCACGACGCGGCGGTCGGCCGGCGCGCGACCCCCCGCCGCCGCCGCCGCCGCCGCCGCCGGCCAGGGGCGCCGCGAGGCGGGCGCGTCTCGCGCGGCGGGCACGTTCTCTCGGGTCTCCCGTCGAAGGACCCAGTGGGCCGTCACGCGAAGTACGGGAAAAACCTCAGGATGGCGTGACGGAGTGCACGCCAGCTGTCACAGTATCCCTTGATGCGGGGAAGAAGCCTAATAATGGACTCAGACGTCTCTGTTGTTCAGGATAAAACGTTGAGCTTAATGAGAGACGCGTGAAACCCGCATCATTTTGGTGCATAACAACGCTCGCTACCAAGCTGCAATAAAATGGGTGTCTTCCTCCATTTAGACAGGCCGACACCATGGGACTACTGGGACTACATTATTGGTTTGCAAAAAATAAATAATATACATTTTATATATATATATATATATATATATATATATATATATATATATATATGTACACCTGTTTGTCTCTTCATACAGGTTCTGCCGTTTCGGGCCCACCGATAGCTGGTGTCAGCTTGCTTAGAATGCTCCAAACTAAATCGGTCATGATATATCGCAACATGGCAAATTGGTCCGTTTTCTTTGTTTGTTTATGGCAACTGACAGCAATGGGACCAGCAGCTACCTATCCCTCTAAGCATCCTTAAGATTTCGCAAGCCGTGGCAGCCTGTCCCTTCACACGGAAGCGTTGTCGGCTGCACGTGTGGAGTAGAGCGCAGACGTAGTTCTGCGTGGCCCTTACCAAACGAGCCCGGCTCCGACGGCGAGCGGGCTGTTTCACAAGCTCTTTCGCAGCTGCAGGGAACTCTACATTACACTCACTCGAAAGCAGCTCTCGGCAGACAGACCGACCCCTGCGCCACATTGCTAGACCAGCAAACGCGAAAGTTCCTTCCACTAAGCCGAGTCAGACACCACCAGCACCCGCAGACTGGTATCCGCCCGTTCTCAATCCACCACGTGAACGGTAGCACAGCGTCCATCGCTAGCCAGCACCGTTCGGCTCCGCACGCCGCACGGCCCCACCCCGCACCCTGCCACGCGCCAGAGGACGCCAGCCGAGCCCCACCGTCCGCGGAGACGGACGTCGGCGCCCACCTGTTGATCTGCTTCTGCGTCTCGAAGGCCATGAGCACCTCGCCCTCCTCGCTCGTGTCGCGGTCCTCCATCCGGCGCAGCGGGAGGCTGGCGTTGTTGGCGATCACGGTCCGCAGCTGGATGCACTCCTCGCGCCGCCGCTCCACTTCGTCCTGCGGCATGCACGCAACGCACGCGTCAGGCGGTGCCGATAAGTGCCGAGACGGGCGCGGAGAGTGGACGGCGGTAAAGACGCGGTCACAGCAGCGTCGATCAGGCCGGGGGAGTAGGACGGCGATAAAGGCGCGGTCACAGCAGCGTCGATCAGGCCAGGACAGTGGGACGGCGGTAGCGCCGTCACAGCAGCGTCGATCAGGCCAGGACAGTGGGACGGCGGTAGCGCCGTTACAGCAGCGTCGATCAGGCCAGGACAGTGGGACGGCGGTAGCGCCGTTACAGCAGCGTCGATCAGGCCAGGACAGTGGGACGGCGGTAGCGCCGTCACAGCAGCGTCGATCAGGCCAGAGGAGTGGGACGCTCAGTGATGTGCGACTAGCGTTAAGCTGGTGCTGACCTAATGATTATGAGCGCAGCAACTGCAACGATCACTTCGAACACTGGTGTTCAAAGCAACACACGGATCCCAAATACGACCGGATGTTTCCCACCATTTCAACGCGCTGCTGAGCATCGGTCTATCGCTGGCATTCTCAACAGACGGGCACGGAGCCGGTCAGCGGGGCGGTATCTGTGCTGACCCCAGCCGTCGGCGCGTGTCTCCGTGCGCGGCCGACGCACCTGGATGGCGTGGAACTGCAGCATCAGATCGTTGCCGGGGTCATCGCCGCTGCCCGAGGCTATGCTCTGGCGCAGCTTCTGCAGGTCGGCCTTCTGCTTGGCGTTCTCCATCTCCAGATCCTGCAGCTGAGGGCGGGCCGGGGGGAGGTCACGTGCCAGCGCGCAGCAGCCCGCCGCGCCCGGGCACGGCTGGGGCCGAGCCGGGCGGGGAGGTCACGTGCCCGCGCGCAGCAGCCCACCACGCACGGGCACGGCTGGGGCCGAGCCGGGCGGGGAGGTCACGTGCCCGCGCGCAGCAGCCCACCACGCACGGGCACGGCTGGGGCCGAGCCGGGCGGGGAGGTCACGTGGCAGCGCGCAGCAGCCCGCCGCGCACGGACGTCAGTCACTGACGTGCGTGCGCGGGTCTTTTGGAGCGCTGACGTCACAGACCGCGCAGCTGGCCACCCTGACCAGATGGAAACTACGAACTTCTAAACTGGGATGGCTACACAGATACTTCATCATCCGATGGCGCATACCAATCCCCACAAACGCATTCACCAAATAGACTCAAGGAGGACATAATGGCAAAAACAAGACGACGACCGGCGCCAGCCAGCTCCGGCTGGTGCGGCCGGCGGCTGGAACCCCACCCACCCGGATCTGGTCATGCGCCTGCTTGTTCTCGCTGTCGGGCGTGGCCTGCTCCAGACGCTCCAGTCGCTTGGCCAGCCGCTCGCGCTCCGTCTCCACCTCCTTCAGCTTCTGCTGCAGCTTCAGCACCAGGTTGACGTCCGGCGAGGCCTGGTGCACACGCGGGCCGTGTCGATCGGGTGGCGCTCGCGCACGGGGGGTTACCGAGAGCGGCCGGGGGACGGCGCGCGATGTCCGCCACAACACGGCCGGGGGACGACAGCGTGTGATGTCCGCCACAGCACGGCCGGGGAACAGCGCGTTATGTCTGCCACGGCAGGCATGTCAAGACCAGGCGGGTCGGAAATAAAGATGCAACGGGAGATGCTTATAAGACCAGGCAAAAACGACACTAAGCATCTGCGCGCTCGGGATGAAATGGAAGCATTTGCTTCAAAACATTCAGAGGCGCTGCACTGACGGAGATTGCAAGACCTCATCAGCAACAGTACGTACAGCCTGTGGCCACCCCTAACGAGTCGTTGCCAGCAGACGGAACGCACCTTGCGCTCCGGCACCACAATGGTGCGCTCCAGGTCCGGGTTGCCGTTGTGCTTGCTCCAGTCGATGGCCTCCAGCTTGCGCTCGGGCTGCTCGCTGCTGCGGGACCGCACCGAACCGTAGCCGACGTCCTGCCGGCGGACAGGGGGCGTCGGTCTGGCAGGCCGGCTCCGGGGCTAACGGTGTGTCGGTACACTGTCAATGTCAGCTCGCGGGACAGCGGGCCGGGCCAGCCACTGCCATCGGGAGACTGACAATGCCACGGAACCGAGAGAGGTGTCAGCTGACACATGTAAGTCCCGGCCACACCGATCCAGTCATGAACACCAGCATCACGATGGCACCATCGCCACCATTACTACCATGAGTCCGCTACAGTGCTACATTTGGAGGGCATTTGCGCAGGACTTTACCAAACAGCCAAAGCTTTGCTGGGGTCAGTCAAGCAGGATCACCCTCGACTGGGGATGGAGCTCACGCTGAGCTCGTCGTGCAGGTCGGAGGTGATGCTGGGCAGGTCGGAAGCGTCGTCCCGGGCTGCCTCCGTGGTCGCCTCGCTCGCACCGCTCACGTTGCTCGACGACCTCTGCAGCGCGGGCACGGCCGCTCACTGGTCAGTGCGCACGGCGACGACACGCGCCCGACGAAGACGGGAAGGGGCACGAGGGCCGAGGGTTGAGGCTGAGCGCAGGGCAGCGCTGAACGCGGGCCATCAGACTGCGCAGTTTCTCAGTGCGGGACATCAGACTTTAGTCCCAACGCGGGCCATCAGACTGCGCAGTCTCTCAGCGCGGGACATCAGACTGCATAGTATCTCAACAACAATACGTTTACTTATTTATGACAATATACCCACATCAAATACTTCGGGACTCTCAGACTCTGACAACCACCGAACATCCCGCGAGAAGCCAGACCGCGTTGGGAGCGGCATCAATGGAGCAGGTGTTGACTTTGCCAAGGCACGCCGTCGCCGCGGGCGTCCGGCGCCTGCGGCGCACCACTGCCGCCGGCGGCCGGTGTCCAGCGGCCCACCTGGTGTATCACTGCCGCGGGCGGCCGGTGCCCGCCGGGCTCACCTGGTGCACCACTGCCGCCGGCGGCCCGTGCCCGCCGGGCTCACCTGGTGCGTCTTGCCGCCGCGGGCGCGCTGCAGATCACGCTCCAACGTCTCGTTGCGCTGCTCGAGCCGGGCGTTCTCCTGCACGAGTCGCTGGTACGCGATGCGCTCCTGATCATGCTCGGCGTTCAGCACGCTCTTCTCCAAGTCCACCTTTGTCTTCAGCAGCTCTGAAAGACGGATGAGGAGGGGAGAGGTCAAGCTGGAGCAGCCCGCGACGGATTTCAATGTGCAGGGCTTGTGCATGTCTCTGGAATAAGCACATCGGTTTTTTTCCAGCATAGCAAACGAGAACACTCAACAACAACAAAGCATTGGTGACAAACTTGAGGACACGTATAGGTACGCCTGTCCCTGGACTCGCACCTTTCGACTCCTTCTCTTTTGCCTGCTTCTCCTGTTCGTTTTGCAGAATCTGCTGCCGCAGTTTCTCGTTCTCCTCGTTCAGCCCGCTGAATGCGATCCTGACCCTCGCGCTCAATCCGATCCTTCTCGTTCACCAAGTCCACCTGAAGCCGCATACAACGGTAAACTGTCAGCGACGAACATGGCAACTGCGCCACGCGTCTTAACGGGGACACGCCGCTCCAATTGTACAATGTGCACGTCATGAATCCAACGCCAAACAGGGCAGGACGTCATCTGACAAGAACGAGTGAGTATTTCCCCGCCTGGTCACAGCGCTCCTGCTCCAGCTGCTGCCGGAGATGCTCCAGCTCGGCCTCACCTTGTCACAGCGCTCCTGCTCCAGCTGCTGCCGGAGCTGCTCCAGCTCGGCCTCCAGCTCAGCCAGGCGGCCCGCCTGCCGGCGCAGCTCGACCGACTCGGTCTTCAGCTTCTTATGCTCGGCCGCCAGCTGGTCGTACTCGCGCTGGCGCTGCTTCAGGCTCGAGTGTTCCCCCGACTGCCGGACGCCGCAGGTGGCGTAAGGTAACAGCGAGGCACGAGCAGGCGCGCGGCGCCACGGTCCGGACCACGTCCGGCAGCCAGCGTCCCGCCGGAGAGTGAGGCACGAGCAGGCACGTGGCGCCACGGTCCGGACCACGGCCGACAGTTAGCGCCCCGCCGGGGAGTCAGGCACGAGCAGGCGCGTGGCGCCACGGTCCGGACCACGTCCGACAGTCACCGCCCCGCCGGGGATGAGGCACGAGCAGGCGCGCGGCGCCACGGTCCGGAACCCGTCCGGCAGTCAGCGCACCGCCGGGAGTAACGGAAGCAGCAATCACCTTTGAGTTCGCCACAAAGGTACTGAGTGCAGTAATCATGATGGAATTGTGGGTCCAGCTCACATGAACACTTACGTGGTCAACAAGATCTGGTGGACACCAGCCATATTTGCACACGACGCATCTGATATACACTACGGAATGAACATTTGCGTTCACGTGCTCATGTCACCATGTTCAAGAGGCTGTCGAAAAGAAGGATCCGATATCCTACTACAGCTTCGTCTTTTACACAACACCGGGATGACAATCGTCTAGAATTACGATCCCCAAAGCGAAAATCGTCTCAAGCATCGCAGAACAGCCCGTGTCTCTCGGCCCTCTTTTGGCGTCGGTGGCATTTCAGCCGGACCCCGACAGCAGCCGGCGGCCAGCTCCGCCTCACCAGCTCGGTGATGCGCTGCTGCAGCGAGATGATCTTGTTTTCCAGGCCCTTGTTGAGCTTCTTTTGGTGATCGATGGAGCGCGCCTCGATCTTGAGCGCCTTCAGCTGGCGGCGGGCGACCATCCTGCGCACGCACGACTGCAGCAGCACCAGACCGCGCAGCGAGTGGGCGTACCGGCGGCGCGCCAGCAGGCCACGCGCATGGCGCTGGATCGTGATGGCCTGCGGGCGGCGGGGAGCGGAGAACGTCAGGCGGAGAGCGTCAGGCGGAGAGCGTCAGCACCTGGCGCTGGATGGTGATGGGCTGCGGGCGGCGGTGAGTGGAGAGCGTCAGGCGGAAAGCATCAGGCGAGGAGCGTCAGGCGGAGGCACGCTGTGCAGGCGGCCGGCTTAGTCGGCACGCACGAGACAAAGCATGTCAAAGCTGGTCAGTATTAAAGCTTTCTGGCGCTTCGCCTTCTAGGGTGGTACACCGCTCGTAATGTCGGAACGCATCAGTGCGAAGCAGGATGAACGTTAAGTGCACCGGCGCCGGACAGCACCGCTCGGCAGAGGGAAAGGTGGACTGCATCGACAAAGACATCACCAGAGCAACACATCTGGGAGGCAAAGTTACGACATTTGAGGTCACCTGCCGACCGCTTCGCAGCTAAATGACCGGAGCGTCAGCCAGCGCCACGCCCGGTGGGCGGCGCCACTCACCGCCCGCTCTCTGCGCATCTGCTGGTACCGCTGCCGGGCCCAGAGGCCGCGGGCGCGCGCCTGCAGGCCCACAGCCAGCCGGCGCAGCCGCTGGTGGCGGCGGCGCGCCAGCAAACCGCGCGTCTGGCTCTGCAGCAGCACGGCCGCGCGCGTGCGTCGCATGTGTCGGGTCCGCCTGCCGGCCGGCCGGCACAGGCGTCAGAGGCGCCAGTCGGTGGCGCACGGCGGGCGCGGCGCCAGCGCAGGGCACCGCGCCGCGCCAGCAGTCGCCACACGGCGCACCTGGCGCTGGGCACCGCGACGCCGACATGAGAGCGAGACGCAACACCAGTGAACGGGTACTGCCGGTGAGCGAGCGGACCCTGTCGCCGACCCAGCGAGGACGACCGCTCGCCAGCGGTTCCACTGACCTGCGCGCCAGGAAGCCGCGCACCCAGCGCTGCAACGTGCACGTGGCGCCGCGCACCGTGCGGTAGCGCTTGCGCAGCAGCCAGCCGCGCACGTGCTTCTGGATCATGATGCCACAGGCGCGCAGCCGGTCGCCGCGCAGCTTCTCCATGTAGGCCACCTGGCCGGCGCGGAAGAAGATCTTGGTGCGACCGAACTTGAACTTGTCCTCGTCCTGCAACGGCGTCAGCGCTGGTGATAGCGGCGGAGCAGCGCACAGCGACCCCACCTTTGCATGGTGGACATGACGGCGACTTTGAGAAGCGCTGCTCACGGACTTAAAAGCATCAGTGGCCCGAATCCGTAAATATAGCAGGTCACATCAGTTTTATTACAATGATCCAAATTCTTTTCTCCAAATAACCATGATCTTGGACATCCTGTTGCCTGCCAAAACGCGAAAACGCGAGCGTCACACGATAGCTCATTTTCACCGAGGTAATCAACTACCAGCTGTCTACAAGCGTCAGGTACCTTGATGAGATTGGAGAGGATGTTTTCGCAGGTCGCCCTCATGTCATTCCGCTTGATGTCCTTGGTGGTGCAAAGCACGCGATACCGATAGAAGAACTCCTGATACAACCACCTGTCAAAGGGCGAGAGCAATTAACAGCCCGACAGAGTCTGCACTCGCCTTTTGTCGGCGCTTTCGATGACACGCCGTCGGCCACCCTAGGACGGATCATGTGCGAGCGGTTAACGGGAGGGGACGGCCCGAGCCCACCCAACGGAGCAGGTCAGGTCCCGGACCACGGCACAACACGGCCCGAACCCACCCAACGGAGCAGTCAAGTCCCGGACCACGGCACAACACGGCCCGAACCCACCCAACGGAGCAGTCAGGTCCAGGACCACGGCACAACATGGCCCGAGTACCCCAACCGGCGCAGGTCAGGTCCCGGACCACGGCACAACATGGCCCGAACCCACCCAATGGAGCAGGTCAGGTCCCGGACCACGGCACAACATGGCCCGAACCCACCCAATGGAGCAGGTCAGGTCCCGGACCACGGCACAACATGGCCCGAACCCACCCAATGGAGCAGGTCAGGTCCCGGACCACGGCACAACATGGCCCGAGTACCCCAACCGGCGCAGGTCAGGTCCCGGACCACGGCACAACACGGTCCAAGCCCACCTAACGGAGCAGGTCAGGCCTCGGGTCATGGCACGACACGGTCCAAGCTCACCTAACGGAGCAGGTCAGGTCTCGGGGTCACGGCACAACGCATGACGCTCGGACGTCATTATCGGCCATCATCGGAGGGCACTATGGTCGCCTCGTCAGTCGTCGGTCGTCTGTTGTAATACTCCATATCTCGCTCCAGTATGACAAGCCTCAGCGCCCCAGGACGGATGCTGAGCCCCAGAGGGCATAATCCCCCCCCCCCCCCCCCCGCCCTCCCCTCCCCTCCCTCCTGACTGGAAGGCGGATACACCACAGCTGTGACCAAACTGCCCCTGCCTACTGTTCTCGGTATCCCACACAGTGGGCCGGTTCCCTACACCCCAGGCCAGATACACACACCCCACGCCAGATACACACACCCCAGGCCAGATACAACCCCCAGGCCAGATACACACACTCCAGGCCGGATACACACCCCAGGCCAAATACACACACCCCAAGCCAGATACACACACCCCAGGCCGGATACACACACTCCAGGCCGGATACACACACCCTAGGCCGGAAACACACTCCAGACCAGGTACACACACCAGGCCAGGTACCCACACCCCAGGCCAAATACACACCCCAGGCCAGATATACACTCCCCAGGCCAGATATACACACCCCAGGCTGGGTATCGCACATCAGTTCTTTGATGATATTGCCATTGGGAGGCATATAATATCTTGTGAGCGGCTGCTTTGCGAGGCCCAACCGCCCGGTTGCATTATTACATCACGCCATAGATCATACTGATTGGCTGGTGGAAGAGGTAGCACCAAAAGTCGTGCGCCGAGCTCGCGCCCTCCACATGGTGAGCTCCTTTTCAAACCCTGATAGGCAAGTTAATTAGCAAAATTATCCTCTCTGGAGGGCATGGAGGGCGATTGATTTTACCCCCACGGCAGTCCGTCATCGCCCCGACACCCTTAAACTACAAACAGCTTCCGAACCCCGTCGCCCACGCTGGGCCTCGCCGGCTGCTCGCCTGGAGGGGTAGCCGGCGGCGCTGATGCGGATAGTCTCCAGCACGCCGCACGCGCGCAGCTGCTGCACGGCTCGGTGCGGCTCGAAGCCGAACGCCTCCTTCTGGTCGTTGGGCTTGATGCAGCGCACGTAGTGCGGGGTGGTCGAATTCAGCGTGGTCATCAGCATACTGAGAGAATCCCGGAACTGGGAGCCGACCTGCGACAGGGGCGGGAGAGGTCAGCATGCTGGGGGAGGCCCCACAACGGGAGCCGACCTGCGACCGGGGGCGGGAGAGATCAGTATGCTGGGAGAGGCCCGAGAACGGCAGCCGACCTGCGACGAGGAGTTTCCGTCAAACAGGAAATCTCCATCAAGTAACAGAATAGAGAGCGTGACCGAACTTTCCCAACGGCCGCCCATGTAAAACGTCACACCGCAGCCAGTGCCTGTGATGGAGCGAGTGCGCGGAGCCCGATGGATTCGATGTCACGCACACGGCCGGCTAGTCTGCCCGCCGGCGCGCACCGGGAGATCTGCCCGCAACTTACCGTTTTCTTGTTCTGAGCTCCAGCCTTGACGGCCGGCGCCTTGGCCGACGTCTTGCCGGTCGGCTTTTCAGCAGCGAAAAGCGCCGATACAACCGAATCCTACGGAAACACGCGCGAATTGTAACACAGGAGTTTCCTCCGACGGCGAAGGTTACACCAACACACTGCTCTGCTCGGACCGGCACACAGGTTCGGCAAACAGCACACTGGTTCAAACACGGTCCTTATTCCTCTCTTTACCTCCCGTCATCAGCGTTTGCTGTTGTATTTCAGCGGGCGGGTCGGCTCGCTCTGTCACCCGAACCTCAGTCAGTGACTCTGCCTCCGCGCCCGGTCGCCGTCCCCCCTCCCCCTCCCCCCTCTCACCAGCCTGGCCCGCAGAACGCTGATCTGCTCCTCCAGCACGGTGTCCCCCACCCCACCCCTCCTCCCCCCGTCTCACCAGGCTGGCCCGTAGCACGCTGATCTGCTCCTCCAGCACGGTGTCGCGGTTCTTCTCCAGGAACCCGGCCGACTCGTACTGCACCTTGTCGGCGAAGTGGGCGATCACATACGCCGAGTTGGAGAGCCGCGGCTTCTCGAAGTGGCCCGACTTGGCGCACTTGCTGTACAACTTCTCCACCCACGACTGGTCAGAACCCTTCGGCATCTGGCGACGCGGCAGACCCGTCGTCAGAGGCCGCCGCCGCGTCGGCGGGGCGCAAACGGCCGAAGAAGGGTGCTGCAGCACCGCGACACGTCGGTCGCAGCTGGATATAAGGCAGCCCGCAGCCATCACACTTCACTGGTGTTCTGGAGGCACTCAGACACTCCTACACACCAAAAACTGGTATCGGATTTGCTTCTTTGTTACACAGCGCTGCACTGAAAATTCGCAAGCGCTGAAACACGCCCATTTCAGAGTTCCGCTAATACGTAGTTATGCAGGAGCAGTCTTCAAAAATTGTTCATGGGTCAACACCATGCAGCCAAAATGCACTGGCTTACAACCAGACCATGAGTCAAACTGATACCCCCCCCCCCCCCCCCCCCCCCCCCCCCAGGGGCCGGCCTGTCCCACATTCCGGCGCGAACCCCGACTCGCGTGGCAGACCGCGCCACTAACGCCCGTCTGCTGGCCTACCCTGCACTCCTCGTCCAGCAGGTCCAGGACGCCCAGCCGGGTCTCGATCAGGTCGATACACGGCTGGTTGTCGTAAAAGTCGATAAAGGTCCACTCGATCTGCTCTTTAACGTACTCCTCCTGCTCCAGTTTGAACACGTGCTGAAACAGACACACAGTTTAAATAGTCCTTCCTAGTTCGAAGGCGTGAAAAAAGACTTGAAACAGACAGGCCAGGTGACAACATGACAAAATTAAGGCCATGTTGGAATGGGAGCACAAAGCCAGCCTACCCCTCAGCAAAGTTTTCAAAACTATGAACAACTGGTAACACATATCCTACGAGCGCAAAACCGCAAATGCACGAGTCCCACCCCCAAGGCACCCCAGTAACATCACAAAAAGCGTCCCCTGAAGTCGGCGACAGCGGCCGTCACCTGGTTAAACTGCTGCTGTAGCTTCTCGTTGGCGTAGTTGATGCAGAACTGCTCGAAGCTGTTGGTTTCGAATGTCTCGAAGCCGTAGATGTCGAGCACCCCGATGAACCGGTACACCTTCTCGGTGGTCTCCAGACACTGGTTGATGCGCGCCACAATGCAGGCGAACACCTGAGCGTAGATGTGCTTGGCCAGCGCGTCGCGCGACGAGGTGGCCTGCCGGAGGACGGGGTAACGGCCGTCACAGTCCGGCCGCGCGCCGCTCGCCCCACGGCCCACTCAGCTGGCGGCGGCCGGCACTTCGCTTCTGTGAAGGCAGATTCTGCCCGTCGGTTACACGCACAGCTGTAGACTTTTCCCCATCCCCTTCCGTCGAACACAGCTACACACCACCACAGCGGTAGAGCCCTTCGCCAAATGACTGGACGGTTAGTTCCCAAGCAGTGTAGCCGCCAACATACACGGCCCCCGTGCACTCTCCGGGAGCCGCACCTGGAGACGGCGGTGCTCGCAGGCACACTCTCTGTACGCCCGGGCCGCAGCCCCGAGTCTGTCGTAGTGCGCACAGACCACGCAGGACGACCGGCTCAGCGGCGCATCCACCAGCGGATCGGCTCAGCATATACCAGCGGATCGGGTCAGCATCCACCATCGGATCAGGTCGCATCCACCAGCGGATCGGCTCAGCATATACCAGCGGATCGGCTCAGCATCCACCAGCGGATCGGCTCAGCATCCACCAGCGGATCGGGTCAGCATATACCAGCGGATCGGGTCAGCATTCCCCAGCGGATCGGCCAGCATTCACCAGCGGATCGGCCAGCATTCACCAGCGGATCGGCCGGCATCCACCAGCGGATCGGCCAGAACCCACCAGCGGATCGGGCCAGCTTTCACCGGAGGATCGCGTCAGCATTTACCGGCGGATCGGGCCAGCCCCGCCCGCGCCAGTGCACAGCGCATGGCCTACCACGTACCTCCTTGAGGTTCATGCTCTTCGTAAAGGTCTCCCGCATGGACACGATTTTGCGCTTGCAGAGCCAGTGCCGGATCTGTTCGTGGTCCACGTTCAGAAGACGCGCCACGACCGGAAGGCTCTTGTCACCCTTCTGTGAGCGGCGGAAGGGGCGCGGGTCAGGTAAGGTCAGTTGGCGACGAGAGGCACAGACCGCAGTTCACAGACCCAGCCCACAGACCCGAGCTACATAAGCCGACCGGGAAACGCAGCCAGGTCACTCGCCATACCGTCCACTGCCAGGATCTAACCGCCTGGGGTCGTGAAGGAGATATTAGAGGCGACCTCACCCGCCACGCCATTTACAACCAGTCTCCCCATACCGACATCCCCTCGCAGTGGGTCCTGTCCAGAACGCGCACAGGCGCCCGGTCGCCGCCTCACACTCGACAGACGGCGGGGCCGGGGGACCTACCGAGACCCTGCAGGCCTCCTCGCCCCCGCTCATCTCCTCGCGGAACTCGACGTTGCCCAGGTGGAGGATGGCGGCCAGCGTGCGGAAGAGGGCCGTCTGCGTCCGCCGGTCCAGCGCCAGCAGCGTCAGGGCCTCACGCGTCTGCTCAAAACACTGCGCGTCGTCTACGCCGCTGATGGTGGGCGACTCGCCCTGGTTCAGGTAGAAGAAGCCATCCTGGTGACCTGCCGGAGCGCGGTTCGGGTCCTTGTCAGCACACGGCGGCGGCGCGGAAACAGACGCGGCCTCGCCCGGGTGGAGCAAGATCAGGTTGGGTTGGGTTGGGTTGGGTTGGGTCGGGTCGGGTCGGGTCGAGTCCGCATCAGCACACGGCGGCGGCGCGGAAAGAGACGCGGCCCGGCCCGCGTGGAGCCAGGTCAGGTTGGGCTGGGCCGGATCAGGTCGGGTCTGGTCGGGTCTGATCTGGTCTGGTCTGGTCTGGTCGGGTTGGGTCGGGTCGGGTCGGGTCGGGTCGGGTCGGGTCGGGTCGGGTGGGTCGGGTGGGTCGGGTCGGGTCGGGTCGGGTCGGGTCGGGTCGGGTCCGCATCAGCACGCAGCGACAGCGCGGTCGGAGACGCGGCCCGGCCCGCGTAGAGCCAGGTCAGGTTGGGTTGGGTTAGGTCGGATCAAGTCGGGTCTGGTCGGGTCGGGCCGGGTCCGCATCAGCACGCAGCGACGCAGCGGCGGTGCGGTAAGAGATGCGGCCCGGCCCGGGTGGAGCCAGGTCCCCCAAAGGCTGGAGGTACAGCGGGCTTCACGACCGCCGGCTTCACGTGCGATCCAACCGGCCGCCCGTCGCCGCTGACACCACCGACTCGTCTCAGACCAGCGGCCGACAACGCAGCTCTGTCTCCCTGCCGCCCATCCCCCCGCACCGCACGCCACCTCCCAACGACCTGTCCCCACACCACACTGGACACACTGGCAGCGGCTCGGGCGCCAGACATGAGCCGCACCGCTAGCCCTAGCCAGCCCGGCTGGCCGTGACCGAGATACGCACCGAGCTCCAACTCCTGGAACTCCTCGCGGCCCGACACTGCGCACAGCTGGTAGAAGACGTGGTAATTGCGCTCGTCTTGCGCCTGGAACACAACCCGCGACTTCTCCAGCAAGTACGTTCGCATGTTGGCCGCTAGGATGTTGAAGTTCTTGTTGAAGTCAATCTCGATGAACTTGCCTGCAAGGACAACAAACATCAACAGAGCAATGCTCGCGCTGTCATTACAACATTTCTAAACAACACAACAGGACATAACAACAGTTATACAACTAATGCAAGAGCTTGAAATTCGATTGCATCGACCCCAAATGACGTTATTCGGGCTATCCTATTCCGAGCTTCTTGGCGCTGTTTCAGATGCGAATTAGTCACAGCCAATTTGATACAAACAAATATTCGAAATCCTAGCACGAAAACATCACGTCCCACCAAAATAGCCTCCTTCGCGTTCGCGCGTTGCTCTCATCATTTAGAGCGCACGAGAACAGCCGACCGCGGCGCCAGGGGGGGGGAGGGGGGATGGGGGGGGGGGGCGCCTGCTGACCGAAGCGGGAGCTGTTGTCGTTGCTCTCATCATTTAGAGCGCACGAGGACCGCCGCCCGCGGCGCCAGGGGGCGCCTGCTGACCAAAGCGGGAGATGTTGTCGTTGCTCTCATCATTTAGAGCGCACGAGAACAGCCGCCCGCGGCGCCAGTGGGGGGGGGGGGGAGGGGGGATGGGGGGGGGGGCGCCTGCTGACCGAAGCGGGAGCTGTTGTCGTTGCTCTCATCATTTAGAGCGCACGAGAACAGCCGCCCTCGGCGCCAGGGGAGGGGGGAGGGGGGATGGGGGGGGGGCGCCTGCTGACCGAAGCGGGAGATGTTGTCGTTGCTCTCATCATTTAGAGCGCACGAGAACAGCCGCCCTCGGCGCCAGGGGGGGGAGGGGGGATGGGGGGGGGCGCCTGCTGACCGAAGCGGGAGATGTTGTCGCTCTCATCATTTAGAGCGCACGAGAACAGCCGCCCGCGGCGCCAGGGGGGGGGGGGGGAGGGGGGATGGGGGGGGGGCGCCTGCTGACCGAAGCGGGAGCTGTTGTCGTTGCTCTCATCATTTAGAGCGCACGAGGACAGCCGCCCTCGGCGCCAGGGGAGGGGGAGGGGGGGGGGGGGGGCGCCTGCTGACCGAAGCGGGAGCTGTTGTCGTTGCTCTCATCATTTAGAGCGCACGAGGACAGCCGCCCTCGGCGCCAGGGGAGGGGGAGGGAGGAGGCGCCTGCTGACCGAAGCGGGAGCTGTTGTCGTTGCGGATGGTCTTGGCGTTGCCGATCGCCTCCATGACGGGGTTGCTGGCCAGCACCTTGCGCTCGATCTGGGTCTCTTCGACGGCCGACCCGCCCACGGTGGCGAAGTAGCGCATGGCGTACTTGGCCGACACCGTCTTGCCGGCGCCCGACTCTCCGGACACGATGATGGCCTGGTTCGTGTTCACCCTGGCCACGGCACGCCCAAGTCACGCCGGGGGAGCACAGCCGCGGGCAAGGAGAGCAGGCTCGGGCAGCGGGTCAACACCACCGCCGGTGACCGACACGTAGTCCAACAACATGTCATCCGCTCCGGGTGAAAAGAGGCCCAACCGTGTGCATGTAGTATGGCTTCTAGAAACACGTGCGTACGTGTTCAAGTACGTGTTTTAAGACGGGAAACACGCTTCTCGAGACCATACGAAACGCATAGAAGTACAATTGCTGCAACGCTAGTTAAAAGGGCGCCAATACCACAGACAGAAACACTACTGCTGTGTTGTTTATAGCAGGGCATTCATCACGGGACAGGAAAGGCAACTTAACGTCTCTTTATGGTAACAACTCTGTCAAGAATAGCAATGAACAGCAATGGTGTGATTTAAAGCCTACTTGCCGAGGGATAACGTGTTTATGGCGTCATCCATCGTGCAAGGAGCCAACAGAGGTCACTACGCCTTCGCATGAATACATAATGCTCCCCAGCTCAACAGCTTAACGACTGAAAACGTAAACCCTTTGTAATTCGCGTAGATCGGTGCATATGGCACACAACCAGCAAAGTGAGATTCCGACAGCCAATGCAGCACCGAAGCGCGGCCCGAGGGCACCGCTCACCTCTCCATCTTGGTGTAGGCCTCCTCGGCGACGGCGAATATGTGCGGGTCGAGGTCACCCATGGCCTTGCCGCGATACGTCCATATCGTCTCTGGGCCGTAGATCGGCAGCTCCTCGTACGGGTTGATCGCCACCAGCACGATGCCTGCGGACGCCGACAGGCCGGTCAGCACCGGGCGCATAGCGACATAAACCGCCACATAACGCCCCCATGCCCACTCGCAGACAGCTGGGACGCGCACCCGCACACGCGGACGAACGCCGACAGGCCGGTCAGCATCGGGCACACAGCGACATAAACCGCCACATAACGCCCCCACACCCACTCGGCACAGCTGGGACGCGCACCCGCACACGCGGACGAACGTCGACAGGTCGGTCAGCATCGGGCACACAGCGACATAAACCGCCACATAACGCCCCCACACCCACTCGGCACAGCTGGGACGCGCACCCGCACACGCGGACGAACGTCGACAGTCCACGCATCACTGAACACACGGTCGCACCGCCACCCGCAAAGAACAGGCGAAGCCTGTACCACACCGTTGGCATGGTCTGCATAACGTATCAATGCCAGGCAAAGATAACGCACACGGCATCATTCTATGTGGGGAGGGGGGGGGGGGGGGTCGGGAGCAGCATACGTGATATTTCAGGAGCGTCGCGTAAGACTTCAGCAACTGACCTTGGTCAGTCGCTGGGTCAGTAAGAATGCCGCGCCAGCATAGGGTACCGCGGTCATTCAAACACAGACCTGCTGCCATTGATCCCGAGCTCATATCGCGCAGATGGCAACAATAAGCACGTCGGTTATTGCCAAATCCTACGACATCGCAAACTCAAGGCAGCCGGTCGTGCTCATGTAGATTTATGAATCAGACAACAAAGAGGAAACGCGTGAAAGCCCGTGATTTATGAATTACACGACAAAGAAGAGCCCCGTAAAAGCTTTCACAAGCGGTGTTTACAGCTCCGAATTACTGCCTCACGTTAAGAGTCATCACCGCTATGGATGTCGCGAAGGCCGACTGCTTCGCGCACAGTTGCAGTCGCAGTGCAGACATTGGGCCTTAATATCTCCATGTTGCGGGGAACAGTTTGCATCGCCAGTGTGGCGCCACAGCCACACGAGAGTCGTCCACGGCGGCAGCACGGCGGGCCACACACCATTCAGGATCATCCGGCCCCGTGACATCCAGCTGGGACTTGGTCTACTGACTCCCGCCGGTCGTGGCACGGGCTTTGTTGGGCGGCCACAACGCGTCTTTTTTGTGTGAGTGTCGTCTGTGCTGTTGTTTTATTATGAGGTCATAACGTCCTATGTAGCCACATTTGCCTCACAGACGCCCACAAGCCACGTTTAAAATAGACTGATAATGGCCAAGACCAGCAACTACGATATCAGTGCCACAATCTTCTGTACATTCTACCGACAGCAACTCATAGGGGGCTGCGGGTGAAATGATTCATACTCGTGTGAACACAAGATTAGAAGCGTGCCATTGCTCGCCCACCCTTTATCAGCGCACAAGGCACACAACCTTTCCTTTCTGTGAGCACGTGTAAAGGTGAGAGAACAAGGCACAGTTGTTCAAAAGGAGACCACATCTTCATCACAACAAAACCTCTCCGGGAATCAAAAGCATGATGCATGGTTAAATGTCGCCTAAACAGCCCACAATATTGACGCAATGCCACGGTGGCGAGTGCCACAGAAGCAACGCGGTCACGTGATCACCACGTGCCAAAACAAAACGCGGTTGGGTGATTCAGAGGACAAAACACATAACATTTGGGACTCGTCAGACCATCTCCTCGCCGCCTGCGCAGCGCGTCTGACCCGGTGTCTGCAGCATTCTTAAGTCAGGGCGTGGCGGGCGGGAGCTCCACCGCCCCGACTGGCCGGCATTCCGGCATACTAATGACCGGTAGGGAGGGGAGGAGGGGGACCCACAGCCGGAAACCCACTCGTCCCGCAGGCCGCCACGCCCTCGCGGCTCGACGGCAGCCGCTGGCGGCCATTCGCCGGCTCGCTGACCAGGGTCGCGGCGGCAGCAGCCTAATCAGACCTCTCCGATCCCGCCAGATAACGGCAGCCAACGCTGACACCGCGACCGGCAGCTGGGCGAGAGGGGTGGGGCGCTACCACAGCAATGAGACGAATTAGCAATGGTCAAGCGCCATCGCCTGGAGAGGAGAGGGGGGGGGGACGGGGACGGGGACGGAACACAATCCGCTGCTATGTTAAATGTCTGCTGGACAATCGTCACATGTAATCACAAAGAGCCAGCTAAGCAGTCCAGCCAAATACCCCGCAGTGCCGTGGCACATACACCGTCGGCGGGAATCCTGGTTCGCTAACGAAAACTGTCCACCAAGGGCTGGGGCAGAGGAACAGCCTGCGCATCCCCAACCTCAGCGGGCTTTCGGGTCATCTCAGCGACCTGCGCTGGCCGTCCACAGCCGATGACAAACACAACCAGAGAGGACCTGTCTCCGCAGCCTCGCTCTGGACAGAGACCCGGCCGAGGGCGCTGCCGGTGCGATGATCGCAGGGCCCGCCCGTCTGCTGCCCCGCTTCCAGCCCTCACAGGCCACGCCAACTGACCGCAGTAGGTGTAGATGGCGCCGTGGTCGCAGAAGCGCACGCGCAGGTTGTAGAGCACAGCCGGCTCGTGCAGGTACGACAGGCTGGTCAGGTCGTTCTCGCCGATCAGGATCTCCGGATTCCGCAGCGGCGGCAGTTCAGAGTCGTCCTTGACGGTCAGCTCCAGCTCCTGGCGATTCGAAGCGGGACAGGTGAGGGGTCACGGCCGCACAGGTCAGGGCTACGATGCTGGTCACATCAAGTCGTGGACGCAGTGGGGCACGGGCGCCTCTGTAGTGGACGTAGTGGACCCTCGGCCCACTCGACGCAACACCGCGTCCAAAACAACGCAGAAAGAAGTAAATAAATCGCAACAACAGTCCATGAATTGAACGCATGAAAATCACGGCATAAATCGCACGAACACTCTAGCCAAAAAACAGCACTATATGCTTTTGCCCATGTTGACGTACCGCACACGTCAAACCACAAGTCTGAGTCATCTAGTGCAGCTCTGGGCCGAGCGGCGGGGTGTGACGGGACGGTCCACCGCCGCCACCGCAGTCTGCCGCAGTCGGCAGTCCACCGCCACCGCCCCACTCACCTCCCCGGAGTCCTCCAGCTCCAGTGTCAGCCGGTCCTTCACATAGTCGGCCTTGAGAGTGGCCGCCTTCCACACGGTGGTGGCGTCCCGCACCCAGACGCGGGCGCCCTGCGGGGCGGAGCGTCAGTGTCACACACCGGGCCGGACCAGACCAAGCCAGCGGCACCAGCAGACGCGGACGCCGTAAGGGCGGAGGGTCAGTGTCAAACACTGGGCCAGGCCGGGCCGGACCAGCAGCATCAGAAGCACGGTACGGCACCGTCGCCACCACGCAGGGCTGGCAAGCCGTCCACAAAATGTCGGTCTAGACTGAAGCCCTCTATCCTAGGCTATTCCGCACACTGATTATACAGCCTGTAGTCATAATAGGGGCTTCGAGGCTCTTCAACTGCGCAGTCATATAGCGTCCATGCATTTCTGGGCTGTTGCGGATCCTGCAGATGCTTAGCGAGCGCCTAAATCACATATGAAGACATTTCTCATCTGCATTCTTGAGCCATTTTGATACGTTTCCACAAACCAGACATCATGATACCAGCACCGACATAACTCACACGTCCGTCATGGAACTCAGTTAATTGACTCCCCGGTCACGGCAATTGGCTCAAACGGCCACGGTCCAATCGAGCCAGAACATTCCCGCATGTTCGATTATGTCATTGCCGCACAATTTCTGCATGCGCAGCCATGGGTCTGTCTGATCACCGACTCAGTCCTGGCGTGGCCCCTGAACCCGGTGCAGATGGCTCGGCTGCCCGGCCGTCTGTCCGCGGCCGGCTGCCGCCCCCCCCCCCCCCCCGTAGTGTGCCACGCTCCTCTTCGAGCCGGGTTAGCCGCCGCCGCCGCCGCCGCCGCCGCGACCGCCGTACGGACCGTGTCGGCCGAGCGACGGCGCCCTTGGTCCGACCGACCGACCCAGAGCGCCCCCAAAAGGTGAACGGGGAGTGATCGGAGACATCGCGTGGGGCACGCTCAGCCGGCGCTCAGGCACTGCAAACTCGTGAGCACCGCCATCAGAGGCGTGACGGGCGTCCCGAGCCGGCGCCGTGACGGCTCCCCCACTCGCTGACGGCCTCTGGGCCGACACGACAGTAATTCCAGGCGCCAGCACTCAATCCCATTAACGGCGAGACCGGAGTCCGTCGGCCGGCGACCCCTCCCCCACCCGGCACCCCCGCAGACCGCGCACCCACCGATGTTCTTTGTCACCCCGAAAAAGACGGCTCAAAGGCACGAGATCAATGCGTGATGCCCACGTTCCAACGGTCTGTGACACCGAAACCCGCTGCAACAGGCTGGCTTCGTTACCCAGTGGTTACATTCCAGCGACCCGAGCCGAGCGCATCGCATCACCTGAAACGCCCATTTTACGACGGCCACTCGCTCCCGGCGCTATAAACAGCTGATCACGTCGCCCGGCTGCCCGGCAGTTTAGCGGACCATCAGGCGCGCCGTCTGCTCTGCCGGCCCCGCTGCCCCAGGCCGCCAGCTGGCCCGCGGCTGAAGCGCTGACACCGCAAGGTCAAGGCTATCGATCCGGAGGCGGCGCGGCCGACCGCCGCGCTCCTCCGCACCGCACGGCCGGGCCCGCGCCGCCGGCCGGCCGTCGCCCGCACCGGGTCAGCACAGTGCCGCCGGTGCCGATGCGGTCAGTGGTCCTCCGCCGCCAGCGGGATGGCGGGCGTCAATGGGCCCCCGGCGGCCCGTTAGCAGCGCAGCCGCCGCCACATCTCCACACCAAGTCGCCGCAGTCCGGTCCGGACGCCAACCAGGCGGCGTCCAGCGGCGCGACAGAGCGACCGCGGCCGGAATCAGCTCAGACCAACGTCCGGGCCGGACGTGTGGCGTGGAAAGACATGCGAACCTTGCCGTCTTTGGTCAACTCATTTAAACATTGATCCCTCGGGAAAGTAAGAAATATAATCAGTTTATTACAACAGCCGGTGACGTGACATAATGCTGAAGGCGTACTCATACAGCCGTAGGTCACATTTCGACACAGGGCGACTTCCGGACAAACACGACCAACGTCGGCTGGATTTCACATCCGACGCCAGCGGCTCGGCACTGCATGAGCACGCACGCGGGCGGGCCCAGACGGCACGGCCGGCGCCGCGAACACGGTCCAATTAACAGCTCGCCTAAGACCTACCAGCGCCGGCACGGGCTAACAGGGATGAGCGGGGGAGGCGGAGGGGGGGGGGGGGGCGTCGAATCAATGCAGGCACCCGGGGCGGTCGAAGATCTGAGGCAGACCCAAGATTTCCCAACGGGTGCCCTTTGGTCCGACCGGTCCCTGGTCTCCCAGCAGAAGCCCTCTGGTCCGACCGGTCCCTGATCTCCAAGCGGGCGCAATCGGGTCCGACCGGTCCCTGATCTCCAAGCGGACGCAATCTGGTCCGACCGGTCCCTGATCTCCAAGCGGACGCAATCTGGTCCGACCGGTCCCTGATCTCCCAGCAGAAGCCCTCTGGTCCGACCGATCCCTGATCTCCAAGCGGCGCAATCTGGTCCGACCGGTCCCTGATCTCCAAGCGGGCGCAATCTGGTCCGACCGGTCCCTGATCTCCAAGCGGGGCGCAATCCGGTCCGGCCGGTCCCTGATCTCCAAGCGGGCGCAATCCGGTCCGACCGGTCCCTGATTCTCCAAGCGGGCGCAATCTGGTCCGACCTGTCCCTGATCTCCCAGCAGAAGCCCTCTGGTCCGACTGGTCCCTGATCTCCAAGCGGACGCAATCTAGTCCGACCGGTCCCTGCTCTCCCAGCAGAGGCCCTCTGGTCCGACCGGTCCCTGATCTCCAGGCGGGTTTCCCTGGTTCGACCGGTCCCTGACCAGCGTCAAGTCTGGCCGCAGGCTCTTCAGGACATGAGACTCTTTCGACCAACCAGTTCCTTGCAAACGACGCGCTTGACACCCGTGTCCGGACGCTGTCCGGTCGGACTTGATCAACGTACCCTGTCCCTCAGCACCAAAGTGGGCGTACGTTTAAAAGTCTCAACGGCACACCGTTGCACCCGGTGTCGGATTCAACGGCTCTCAAACGGTCGTTTTCCTGTGCTAGCTTCAAATTTCCCGCCGCAGGAGGCGCACAGCATGAGTGGCGTGACGCTCGACGGTTCGCGATATTATCACGTGATCTTGCGAGCACGCAGGATGGGTGGTGTCGCACAATAAAGCGTCAGTTGCTTGCTATTGAAGCCGGCTGTGCTGCGCCCATGTGCTGCTCAGACACACCCATTACATTGACCCAGTGGCGCGTTTGAACGGCCCGATGCGCCGCACCAGAGGGACCTCTGTCAGCTGTCGGCGAATACTAGTGTCGGTCAATCGGGCCCGGCTGGGGCGTCTCGACGGACGGCCGGGCCGACAGTGCGGGCCCGGCCAGAGAGTGTCCCTGGCCAGCCGAGCCCACAGTACGGGCCCGGCCGGGGAGTGTCACTGGCCAGCCGAGCCCACGGTACGGAGTGTCATCGGCCAGCCGAGCCCACAGTACGGGCCCGGCCGGGGAGTGTCACTGGCCAGCCGAGCCCACAGTGCGGGCCGGCCGGGGAGAATCACTGGCCAGCCGAGCCCACAGTACGGGCCCGGCCAGAGAGTGTCCCTGGCCAGCCGAACCGACAGTGCGGGCCCGGCCGGGGAGTGTCACTGACCAGCCGAGCCCACAGTACGGGCCGGCCGGGGAGTATCACTGGCCAGCCGAGCCCACAGTACGGGCCGGCCGGAGAGTGTCCCTGGCCAGCCGAACCGACAGTGCGGGCCCGGCCGGGGAGTGTCACTGACCAGCCGAGCCCACAGTACGGGCCGGCCGGGGAGTATCACTGGCCAGCCGAGCCCACAGTACGGGCCGGCCGGGGAGTATCACTGGCCAGCCAAGCCCACAGTACGGGCCGGCCGGGGAGTATCACTGGCCAGCCAATCCCACAGTACGGGCCGGCCGGAAAGTGTCACCGGCCAGCCGAGCCGACAGCACGGGCCCAGCCAGAGAGTGTCACTGGCCAACCGAGCCAACAGTGCGGGCCCGGCCGGAGAGTGTCCCTGGCCAGCCGAGCCAACAGTGCGGGCCCGGCCGGAGAGTGTCACTGGCCAGCCGAGCCCACAGTACGGGCCCGGCCGGAGAGTGTCCCTGGCCAGCCAAGCCCACAGTACGGGCCCGGCCGGAGAGTGTCCCTGGCCAGCCGAACCGACAGTGCGGGCCCGGCCGGAGAGTGTCACTGGCCAGCCAAGCCCACAGTGCGGGCCCGGCCGGAGAGTGCACTGGCCAACCGAGCCAACAGTGCGGGCCCGGCCGGAGAGTGTCACTGGCCAGCCGAGCCAACGGTACGGGCCCGGCCGGAGAGTGTCACTGGCCAACCGAGCCAACAGTGCGGGCCCGGCCGGAGAGTGTCACTGGCCAGCCGAGCCAACAGTACGGGCCCGGCCGGAGAGTGCACTGGCCAACCGAGCCAACAGTACGGGCCCGGCCGGAGAGTGTCCCTGGCCAGCCAAGCCCACAGTACGGGCCCGGCCGGAGAGTGTCACTGGCCAACCGAGCCAACGGTGCGGGCCCGG